ATAAATAAACAAACAAAGGCATCAGGATGCATGCTCAATGCTTCAGCAAAGCAAGTATTCACTTGGACATACATGAATCCTACCTTGTCAGTTCCTAAATCTTGAACATCTTGCCTCCATACCGATGAGAAAATAAATTTAAGTCACCCAGTTTGTGGCTTTTACTATAGCAACCTGTAAAAAATTTCATACATATCTCATCTGGAAAAAAGAGTGTCTTGCTTAGGGTTTCTATTGCTGTGAAGAGACACCATGACCAAGGCAACTCTTATAAAAGGAGAGCATTTAATTGAGAACTTGCTTAGGGTTCAAAGGGTCAGTCTATTATCATCACGGCAGGGAACACAATGGCAAGCATGGTGTTGGAAAGTAGCTAACAGTACATGTGATCCAAAAGCAGAGAGGAGAGAAAAAGATTAGGCCTGGCAGAAGCTTTTAAAACCTCAAAGCCCACCCCACTGACACACTTCCCCCAACAAGGCCACAATCTCTAATCCTTCTAGTGCTATCAAAGGGCTCCCTTTCCTGGTGAAGAAGCACTCAGATATAGGAGCCTATGGAAGCAATTCTTTTTTTTTTTTTTTTTTTTTTTTTGATTTTTCAAGACAGGATTTCTCTGTATTGTTTTGGAGGCTGTCCTGGAACTCACTAGACCAGGCTGGCCTCGAACTCACAGAGATCCGCCTGCCTCTGCCTCCCAAGTGCTGGGATTAAAGGCGTGTGCCACTAAGGCCTGGCTGGAAGCAATTCTTATTCAAGCCACTACATTCTAGTCCCTGGCCTTCCTAGACTTGTAGTCATAAAATAATGCAAATTGCACTCAATTCAACTTCAGAACTTCGAAGTCTATAACAGTCTCAACACTGTTTAAGAGTTCAAAGTTCAAAGTCTCTTCTGAGATTCAAGACAATCTCCTACCTGTAACCCCTGTAAAATCAAAATAACAAAGCAAACCACACACTTTCAATGTACAATAGCACAGAATAGGCATTACAAACACTTCCAACATGCAATGACACAGAACATACATTACCATTCCAAAGGGAGGAAAGGCGGCATAGTGAGGAACTACCGGACCAAACAAGTGAGAAAACCAGCAGGGCAAACTCCAAATTCTGCATCTCCATGCCTGATGTCAAAGCACTCTTCATCATCAACGAAGGAGGCGTCCAATGCCTTTCAGCTTTGCTGACTGCACCCCACTTCTTTCTCTTGGCCTGGTTCCATGTCCAGTCTGCAGCTTTCGTTGGCAAGTATCCTACAACTCTAGCATCTCCAACATCTTGGGGTCTTCAACACAGTTTGGCTTTACCCTTAAGATTCGTGCAATGGCCTCTCTGGACCACGCATGCAGACATATTCCTGACACATACCTGGCTTCAGCAGCCTTAGAGGAAGATTTCTCTGCTCCTCTCATGCTCTTTACTGTAAAGCCCAAACCACATGGCTGAAGCTAAGCTGCCAAGTTGTGCTGCTTGCTGGGACTGGAACATGACCCCCTCTTTCATTTACATTTACATCATCTTTCTGTTGTTGATGGTTCTCCCACAGCTTAAGTTTTTCTTTAATTCCTTTTCACAAGCTGGAAGCTTAGCTGGGTGGGGGTCTTGCTCTGAGGCCACCACAACCTTTATTCCATTTAGCATCAAGCTTTTCTTTAAATGTTTTAGTTTATCTTCTTGAGCACTAGACTTAGCTCCATTCTACTTTCTGGTGCTGCTTTACCCCTTAAACCATACATTTTTATTTCTCTTTGTCATCTTGTTCCTTTTCATTATAGATCTACTTAAGAGTTATTACTAATAACCACAGAACAGAGTCAGTACTAGATTGCTTTGAGATCTCTACTACTACAAGAATGATCAGTCTCTAGGTCACTTATTAGTGTTCTCAGATGAAATCCCCCTTAGCACTGTTCTCTACACTCCGACTAGGATAACCTATTTAAGTGCCAATCTGCTTTTCTAGTCCAAAATCATCCATATGATTTAGTCCCCAAATCATCCATATTCCTTCAACAAAAAGCGTGATTAGGACCATCACATTAATATCCCAATCTCTGGTACCAACTTCTGTCTTAGTCACTGCTGTATAGTAAAGAGACACCAAGACCAAGGCAAATTAAACTGGGGAGTTCCTTACAGTTTCAGAGGTTTAGTTCAGTTCATGGCAGGGATCATGGCAGCATGTAGACAGGCATGGATTAGTTGAGAGTTACATCCTGATCTGTGTGTGTGTGTGTGTGTATACACACATACATATTATATATATAGAGAGAGAGGGAGAGAGACTGGACTTGGCATGATCCTTTGAAATCTCAAACCCTACCGCCAGTGACACACTTCTTCCAACAAGGCCACACCTCCTAATCCTCAAATAGTGCCACTCCCTAGTGACTAAGCATTCAAATGTATGAGCCCATGGGGGCCATTCTTATTCAATGTAGTGGCATCTTGTTCCACCAGTGGACTTGGGGTGGTGGCCGCACCTTAGGGCACAACTTCAGGTGTTCGAATGTGACTCTTTATAAGGAAGAGGAGAAGCTGGCTCATGGTCAGAGCATCCTGAAGGGCAGAGATTGCATCTTCAGGAGCGGGAAGAACATGGAGTTTATTTACCATCATTGTGTGAGTGCTCCCCTAAGAAATAAATACCTGGTAATCCTTTACCCACCTTCACTTGGTGCCCACTTGACCCGATTCCCATATTCAGCCCTAGAGGATGGCTGGCTGTGACATCCGAGAGCCAGTGTGCTTCTTACGGGAGCACATTCCCAAAGTCAACTAGTTGCTTCCCTCTTGTCTCATCAGCCACAATCAGGGCATAGGCTTGATGATCTACCTCTTGGGAGCGGAGAAACACAGCAATTAAGTTTTCCCAATTCCTACCTCTGCCACGCTTTAGGGGGTGCAAATAAATGCGCTTCATTTTGACTTATCTCATGGACAGTGGCTGCTGTCTAAAGCAGTTGGATGGGAACAGCAGCTAAGAAGATTATGGAGGGACTTTCACTGCCCGTTTTCAAAGGACTTCAGGTGTGTCTGAGGTACTACCTCTTTGGTTACAATAACTACAAACATCGTGCTAAGACTCAACTTATCTGCACTAGGGTCTGTTACAAAGCATCCCATTTCACTTCTCGTGCATACCCTGTTTTGCTTTTTGCTTTGTGTAGAGATGATACAGATTTGTAAATGACAAAAACTAGTGGCAGGTAATAAGTCTCATTTGATATTGTGGTCAACCCACAGTCCTGACTTTATATTGTCACTGGCCAAGGGCCCTTTAATAGCCTTCTAATTACCAGCGTTTAAAATGTGCAACCCAAACTCACTGACCTAACTTCAAAGTATGTTTCTTTTTGTCTTTAAAAAAGTTTTTATTTTTATTCTTGCTTTGCCTTTTTATCATTAGTTTCCCCTCTTTTCTAGCCTCCTGTTCCTCCCCCCCATCTCTCCCCTACTCCATTTCCCCCATCCACTCCTCCCCCATCTCCACTTAGATGGTGTAAGGCCTCCCATGGGAATCAACAAAGCATGGCACATCAAGTTGAGGCAGGAGTAAGTTCCTCCCCACTGCATCAAGGCTGAACAAGGCATCCTACCAAAGGGGTTAGGTTCCAAGGTGTCAGCTCACACACAGGAACAGATCGTGGTCCACTGCTAGGGGGCCCACAAAAGACCAAGCTACGCGATTGTCACCCAGATGCAGAGGGCCTAGGTAAGTCCCATGCTAGCTCCCTGGCTGTCTGTGCAGAGTCCGTGAGCTCCCACAGGCTCAGGTCAGTTGTCTCTGCAGGTTTCCCCATCACTACCTTGACCTCCCCTTGCTCATACAATCCCTCCACCCTCCCTTCAACTGACTCCTGGGAGCTCGGCCAAGTGTTTGGCTGTGGATCTCTGCATCTGCTTCCATCAGGTACTGGATGAAGGTTCTATGATGACAACTAGGGCAATCACCAATCTGATTATGGGGGAAGGCCAGTTCAGGCACCCTCTCCACTATGTTTTTAAGGGAGAGCAATGTAGCTTTTTGCAATCAGTGGCATAGTTCTTAAGTTGAAGTTGTAAGATTATTCTCAAGTACTTTTTGTTTCAGCTACATTCCAATTTTTAAGTGAATACTAGTTACTTCAAAGGGCATGGCACCTATTCACAAAGACTTTCCAGAATACCAGGGATATCAAGTATAAACTTAAAAAGAATCAGAAGCTCATTCCATTCATGTGAGACACAACTTCTGAAAGCTGCAGGGGACACGGAGAATAGAGAAAGAGAAGGGAAGCAATGGAAGCCAACATCTGAGCAGCAGTTACTCTTGTAATGGAAAATTCATTTATTAAATGGGATAATACTCAGGAGGAAAATGTACTATAAAAGTAAAAAAGTGCAGCCTCTAAACATAAATAATGTATTACCCAAAAAGCAGTCAGCTATTTAGGACTTTAACTATAATCTGAGAAGTTATGTAGTTCCCTTAAAGCAGGCATGTAGTACTTTAACATAATGTATTTGCAAAGATCATTGTGGTCAAATGGTGTTGAGTAAGGAGACTGTTCTTTTTGCAAAGCCTACAGTAACTTAACACGAATAAGAAGACTAATTTATTATTTTCTTTTCTATCTTTAAGGGTAAGCAAGCACATTTTAAATACTCTTGGTGGAAAATTTCCTGAGTCAGAGCATGTCTAAGTATTCTGACAAAGACTTAATTTTAGTATTCTGATAAAAAGTATTTTCCTCATAATATCAAAGGTTAACAAGAATCAGTGCATGTAATCACTTGTGTTAGCAGAATTTTAAACAACTGCATCTCAATTTTAGATTATAAATGAAAATATTCTGTTTTTCCAGGAGGTTCTCTCAGATTTTAGAACACTTATACAGTTCAATGCCAACATTTCACAAGGCTGGCTCACAGATCCTAGAATACTTCTGTAATAACAATTAAGGTACTATATCATTCTTTCAGTTAACTCCACTTACTAAAGAAACTCACCAGTTGAACTTGGCACAAAAGAGTTTAATTATCATAAAGTGCATCCGTTGGTTAAATACATTATAAACAAAATCAGCCATAATACAGCATAACATCTTCACATACACAGAAATACAAATGGAACACCAGAAGCCAAGCTACTTGGGAACTTTGCAGTATATATGTTTATTTTGTTTTCTTTTTCTGTAACTCACTTGCCTCAAAACTGTAATATATTTTGAAAAGAATATGCCTTGATTAGCAAAAGAGGTAGTGTTCTGAATGAGGCAAACCCCACTGAATCTATGGGTAGAGAATTGAGTTGAAGATTATGCAGAAAATATCCAAGTATAAGATATTAATAAATCAGGACATTTACAATAAGTATCTTGACATTAATCATCATTTAAATCAAGGCTATTTTATCATTTTGCCTATCTAATTACAGCTCTTCACAACACATTATCTTTGGCTGTACAAAGTCATTTTCTTTTAAGTAGTACTAACCTTTCAAATAAGCAATTTTTATTTAGAGATGATAGACATGGCAACATTTTAAACTGGATTCATCTTTATCTTCCCTATGGTGTTCACTGATTTAAACCTATATTATGTTTGAGATAGAAACATTACCCAAATTCTAGCATGCAATTAGTTTTCACCCAATATAACTGGTGATTACACACACACACACACACACACACACACACACACACACACACACACACACACACACACACACACACACACACACAGAGTAGTTTGGAGCAATATACAGGCAAGACACTGTAATAATTTATGTAAAGTATTTAAGAATATGGGCCCTGATAACAATTCTAACTAGTTTTTTTTTTTCCAGTATAGTAAATAAAATGCTGGATAAAAGACAGTTAAAAGTAGCAGTGAATATAGTTCTTATTCGAATAACTTAAGAAACACTTTATGTAAACTTTATACACGTGCACTGTTGATCTCTTCTGTGTCAGTCTTTTAAGTGGTATTTGCCACTCCGCTGCAAATCTGCTGAAATGCTGAAATGGAAGGAACTGTCACCAGTGTGTTAGTCATCTTCAACATTATATGCCAACTGTGCAACTTCTATGTCTGCTATGACACTTCTAGCTTCTCTAGAGTTGAAGTGTGGCGTACTATTAGCTCTGTAAAGAAAGAGGATCGTGTTAGTAAAGTAGACAAAGGGGCAGATTCATGCTCTCAGTTTCTTGTTATTTTCTCACAGAAAGGCTACTTATACATTTAATGTGAAGTAGTTACATATTCAAACAGAAATTATTTGTGTTTGTGTGTGCATGCCTATGTATATGCATGTTTATGGTGATCACAGATGAACTTTTGGTGTCATTCACTAGATGCTATCCACTTTAAGAGCTACATTAATTAATTAATTAGTTAATTAGTTAATTAATTGTGTGTGTGTGTGTGTGTCCCAGCATGTGTGTGAAGTCAGAGAAAAACTTAAGGCAATATGTTTTCTCCTTCTGCTGAGGTGGGACCAAGGAAGTGGATGCCAGTTCCTTGCTTGACAGCAAATACCTTTACTCAGTGAGCCACCACACTGGCCTCCACCTAATTTCTCAAGACAAAGTCTCACAAGACAAAGTCTCACACTGGCCTGGAGTTTGACAATTAGGAAAAGCTGGCTGGCCAGAAAATTCACTTCTTAGGAGAAACTATGGTACTTTCTTTCTTTTTTTTTCTTGATGAGCTGATTCACGATACAGTAATACAAAGCTCATAAAGAATACTCTTTGGATTTAAATGAGCACACTGTAGTAAACTGAACATTATTGTGCTGCATAGTTTTATGTCAACTTGCACAAACTAAAGTCATCTGAGAGGAGGCACCTCAATTAAGAAAATGCCTCCATAAGATCAAGCTGTAAGCAAGCCCGTAGGACATTTTCTTAATTAGTGATCATACACTGTGGGTAGTGTCACCTCTGGGCTGGTGGTCCTGATTCTGTAAGGAAGCAGGATGAGCAAGTCAGAGGAGTAAGCCAGTAAGCAGGCCCCCTCCACAGCCTCTGCACCAGCTCCTGCCTCCAGCTCCCTGCCCTGTTTGAGTTCCTGAGCTGACTTCCTTCAGTGATGAGCAGCAATGCTGAAGTGCAAGCAGAATAAACCCTTTCCTCCCCAACTTGCTTTTTGGTGATGGTGTTTCACCACAGCCACAGCAACCCTAACTAAGACAATTATATACCTAGAGTCTTCATCCAAGACATCCCGATTGACTTGAAGTACAGAGGACTCCACCCTTAGGATCTGTCCACCTTCTGCTCCTGACAGATAGAGTGTCGCTTCAGGTTCTAAGGACAATGTTCTAAAAGAACGGTACAACACAAGGTTATTTCTTCTGAATAAGAGGTGTGCCCTCACTGTCATGAGAACATGCAGTGTTCTTAGTCTCCAGCTGCTAAGTCTGTCAGACAAGTGGTTATTAAACTGCTAAATGAGGACCGACAGTGACATCACCAGCTGCAAGTAATTGCCAATCTCTCCCACATGCATGCATTCAGTATATACAAATAGGGAGGCAAACTCTGGTTATGCTGGTAACATGAAAACACTTAACCTTTTCATCAGCTAGAGCTTTATCTTCCTGAGGTTTCTCATCCTTAAATGTTCAGCCTCCCATATCCAAATCAGTTTACAAGGAAGTAGGTCAAGAGCCCAGGACTTTGAGAGTCACGAGTCTCCTACGCCACATTTAAATCTAAAGGACACTGAGCCTAGAATGTGAGGAGTCAGATTTGGCAGACTACAGGTAGAAGAGTCATTACCCACCTCATTCTGTTCTCTAATGCGTCTATGCGAAGCTGCTTTTCCCCGATTAGTTTCTTCAGGGATTCTATCTCCTTTTGCTTTTCCAGCAGCTCTCTCTGTAAATGGTAGTTAGTCTCTTCTAGAGTCTCACAGAATGCCTTTACAAAGAACATGCAGGCAAAGACAAAATTATGCACAAGCAGCATCTTTCTCATCAGAGAAATATGTGTAAAAACCAAAACAATGTTATTCATGCTTATCTTTTTACATTACTGCTATTTTGGCACTCAGTTCCCATGCACAGGGGTACTTGTAAATTCTCTTTCTTGAGAATAACTACAGTAGCAAACACTGAAGGTGGATATATAATTATAGATAAAGTGATAGAATATTATGTCTGAAAATAAAGAATAGTATTACATGATTTTATTTTTAAAATTATAAAAGCTGTCCATTTCTATAAAAAATACAAAACTGCCTTTCCCCAGAATAGATAATTTGAATAAACTAAGGTCATTTATTAAAAACAATAGTCAGTTATTATACTCTGATAAACTAAAGGGATTATCAGTCAAATTCGTCTTACAGGCAAGTTCTAAGAAGATGGAAGTAACAAAAGCCATTAACAGTATTCAAGTAGCTCTGGAGAACAGAAAAAGAAACAATTCCTGAGCTTAGAAAATTGGAATAATCCTGACACTAGACTCAACAAGAGATAGAAAGGAAATTTGTTACAAAATCATTATCATCTAAATTCAGCAATTAAAAGGAAAATTTCTCTCAAATAATTCTATCATTTGAAATTCTATAAATATAATTCCTGTTGATTAAAGAAAAGACCCCTGACAAAGTTATCCTTACATACGCAAATAAAACCATCAATAGGACACAGATACATACTTCATTCTACAGCTTAGCATACCAGGAATAAGAATAACTTCCTAACCTACAAAAAGACAGTAACAAGTGAGCAAACCACAACTACTAACAGCTTACAGAAAATGTCTCTTCATGACACAGAGTTTCTTTAAGGTTAGGAAGAAGGGTAAAGTATGCCCACTGTGATGGTCTTGATTTCTCTCCCAGGATATATTACCAAGCACAATAATACAGGAAAATGCCATGTACAATATTAAGGGCCAGTAGGGAGAAACTGTGAACATTAGTATTATAAGGATACAATTAGCTGTACAGACAATTCAAAAGGCTCTCCAAAGATACAGTAGGGATGTGAAATAAGCACATGAAATCCAACAAGTCAATCATGAAAATGTATATTATAAAACAGCAATTAATAACAGAGTGATTGGAAGCTAATGATGTCTTGGAAGTTAAAGGAGAAAAAGAAATGAAACCTTTATTGAAGGATATTGACAAGTGAAACAGGATTTTCAAGGAATTCACGAGTTGATTATAAAATTCACATTGAAAACCAACAAACAAACATGGGGGAGACCTTTGCTCTGGACTCTAAGCTCCTGAAGCTACTGTAATTAACTGTAGAGAGCTGGCAGGAGGAGATAACTGAAGCTGAACTAACTGGCTGCAAACAGGCAAGAATGATTCATGAGACAGGAAAATCTTTTAACTAGTCAAGGAAGGTGAGCACTTTAATAAGTGGTATTGGGATGAGTGGTCACATATACAGAAAAGCTATGTCAATTAAAGCCTGCTGTGAAAAGCAAGTTTTACTATCAGAACATAACTTAAAGATTACATTTGTGACCTGGAGTAAAATAAAAATCACAGGAAATATGATGAAGTATAAGAGCCCCACGTAACCATTAATTAGAAAACCTTCTGGTAACCAAGAAAGCCAGCCTAGAATCAAAAGGCAAATAATACTACAGATGAGTGATGACAGGAAGTAATGGAAAAACACTGCTGATGTGTCAACTGACTGAACAAATGTTGGGAAGCTAAGAGTAAAACACTCAGTATCAGGTAATTCCACGTCTACAAATAAGCTTCCTATAAACCCTTGAGTATCTTCCAGGATGAAAAACTGTCTCCATGAGAGAGCATTATCTTAGGAAAGATGTCCCTAGAGACTATACATTCAGAATAATCATTAGACAAATATGCTGATGGAACTATTTACCTATTTAAGAGACCTCTGTTCTTAGAAAACAACCAAACCAAAACTGCTCTGAATGACTTGTAACATTAATGATGATGAACATGATGTATGCAATCTTCTGTGACTAGCAGCGGCTTCTGGAAAACATGTCCCATAACTCAGGGGCCCTCTTCACTTGCCTTTCTGAATTTCTCAACTTGGAAACAAGAAAAATAAAGTTCCTAAGCTGCAGAATACCCGAGTGAGGGGTAGAAAGTCTAAGGGTTTAGGTTTTAACTATCTGTAGTCATAATGTTTCCTTTAACATTGGGAATACACAATACATTTCTTGATTACTGAGAGTGGGTCTTCATGCGTCAGACCCGCCACTGAGGCACCCCCTAGTGCAGGGATGACTGGTATATGCCACTGCGCCCACTTCTCACGGCTCACTTCCAATCATAATCTATTTATTGTTACTATACCCCAACCTCAATTTTTCCAATGATGTCATTTCCACAGAGTATAGCTCTGCCAATCTTAATTTCTTCTTTAATACAGGCACTTGAAGGCATAGAAATGTCTCTTTTTAATAGGGTGCAGGTAAACTGGGTGTGGTAGCTCATGCCTTTAATCCCAGCACTTGGGCAGGACGATCTCTGTGAGTTCAGGGCAGCCTGGTCTACAAAGTGAGTTCTAGGACTGCCAGCGCTGTTACACAGAGAAACCCTATATAACAAAAACCCACAGAAACGAAACAAAACAAACAAAACCAAAAAAAAAAAAAACCCAACCAACCAACCAAATAAATAAATAATAGGGTACGGGTTGAAAAAAACAGAAGAAACAAGGCTTAATTGAGTCTCATCTTTTGAATAATTTTTGCTTAAAAGGGAAAGAAGTTTCTTGTTGTCATTTTCCACATTTTCTTAACTAAGAGGCTGCTGAAGGAAGTCTACAAGCTGATGTAGTGTCTTTTGTTTTGAAATAGAAGAGCCAGGGGGAACTTTTTCAAGTTTCTTACCTAAACAAATACTTATTTTCAAATACAGTTTTAAGAAATTACATTCATTTTACAGAAAAAAATTTAGGGTTCCCATTGCCTTATTGAATGTATAGGCTTAATATAGCTTTGTTGACTTATTTAACTTGTTTTTCCAACCAATTTTGCAATGAACTGGTGAGCTCCCCTTGCCAAAGAATTACCCAGTCCCTAATACAAGTGTGGAGTTTCAGAAATTTCATTTTAAACCAACTCCACTCTTTTCTGACTCAGCCAATGCATATTTTGAATTAAAAGTATTTAAAAGTTTTTTATGTAAAAATTAAAAAAACTTTTAAGAACTTCGTGCAGGAAGGCAGAACACTCTATCTGAAAGGAATAGAAATCATGAGCTTTATGAACTGGAAAAGCAGCAATGTCAACTGTTTTGTAGTACAATATATCCACCTAAAATGGAACTTTAACTTTCCAAATACATTCTAGGCCAAAATAACCAAACAAGCCTAAATCCAGTGACTACATATGCTGCAGAGACAAAATATCACAGTTATCAAATGAGGAGACCAATGCCAACAGTCTATAGAGCAGAAACCAGATCAAGGTTGCTAAATTTATCTCCTGAAGTGTCTAGTACTCAACAAAACAAACAGACAAAAATTAAACAAACAAACAAAAACACCCACGCACAATCGGGGAAAACAACAGCTATTAGAAGCTATCTCTAAATGAACTCAAATAATGGTACACAGAATAAGTGATTTTTGAAGCAGCTTGTATATTAAATGTACTAAAACTGCCTCAGAAATCTCTGGGGCCTTGGGTAGTAGATCAGTGTTTACCATGATGTACAAATGAACTTTGGGGGCCCATGCCACATGGAGGGGTGCTCTCTAAGCCTGGACACATGGGGAAGGGCCTAGGTCCTGTCCTGGATGAGATGACAGACTCTGGAGATCCCCCCCAAGGAGGACCTCACCCTCCCTGGGGAATGATGTGGGGACTGGGTGGGGGGCTGGTGGAGGGACAAGGGAGGAGGGGTGGGAGAGGGATCTGGGATTGACATGTGAAGCATGCATGTTTCTAATTTAAATAAAAACATATATTGAGAAAAAATGTATTAAAACCAAAAAGTGTATTTATTTCTCAAGAAATAGTGAATATAAATATGAGAAAGAATGATAAAATAGAATAAATGAAAATTCTGGAATTAAAAAATACAAGGCCTAAAATTAAAAAAAAAAAGTAAGAGATACTCAATAGCAGATATAACAAGACAGAACTGGGAATCCCTGAATTCAAAGACAAACCAATAGAAATAATCCAATCTTGCAAACAAAGAAAAAATAATTGAGTAAAATTACAAGGAGATACAGGGAGAAGGGAGTAGGTAGCTGAAAACTACTTGAGGAGATAATGGTCTTCTAAGGAAACCTCCACACCTGAGGTAAAGCAGCAGCCTCCAGGCCCAGGAAGCTCCGTGAAGTGTGTGATAAAAAGAGGCAGTGTTGAGGGATGCATCCCAATCAGATTACTAAAAGTCAAAGACAATGGGAATGACAATAAAATTAAAGGCTGACTTTTCATTTAGATTGACAGAGAAGGCAGAAATGACCCATTCAAGGGGCTGGAGGAAAAACAATCTGGGGGGAAAAGGATGTATATAATGTTAAATGTTTATAAGGGAGTGGAGAAACAGAAATTCTCCCAAACTACCATTGGATAACTCAAGTAAAATAGTTCATTAGTTTAGAAAGGTTTCTTTAAAATTAGACATTAGGATGCTTTACAAGGAAACAATTGCTTTCTCAATAAACAACTTTGGAAAAAGGAAAGCACACATGTACTGTAGTAGGGTTTGGAAGAAGTTGTCCATGTGTGACTCAGGATGATACAAAATTGCAAACACTGTAAGTATTATTCAGCTGGTGATGGAGGAAAGGCAAGTCGGTGCATGCATTAAACAATGACAGAAGCATAAAAACTGATGAGAGAAGCTATAAAATGGAATGTCCTGTACACATGCTAACTGAAGGAAGGTAGAAAAGATTAAAATGTGTAATTCTATCATGCATATCATATACATGAAAGATTATGCATACTGTATGTGGATTATAGGTATAAATGCATGAACATACATAAATACAAAACAAACAGAAAAGGCAAACCTATAGGGAATGGCAGCAGAATACAGATTGTCTTGGGCTAGAGTGCAGACTAAAATGTTTTTGGTAATGTGAATACTCTAAATTTGGTTTATGGTGGTGCTACCACAGCTGGATAAATACTAAAAACTACTAAGCTATATATTTAACAGTGAAATGACAAAATAACAAATGAATAAAGCTTTTGAGGGTTTTACTTCAATAAAACTGTTTTTTAAAAAGCAATAGCATTTACTCCAACACAAAAAAGAGCTACAGTTTAGCTGTACAAAACTACAAACCCACCAATTAAATCTGCTTCATTTAAATGCCATTAAACATTTGGGGGCAAACTTGCATAAAATTCCAGCTAATCTCTTATTACTAAATCTGTTTTGTGAATCTAGCCTATTGCTTTGAGAAATGGAACACTTTAATGTGTCAATTATTGTAATTTGAGTACCATGAAACATGAGCTGAATTGCTAACAAGACAGTCCTGTCTACCTCTAAAGATCAATTTGAATCCAACAGTAGAGTAGGATCCTCACTGGGTACCTCAGAAAAGGAATGATCATTAAAAAAAAAAATCATACTACCAAATGAAGTAAATTCCTGTAGGATTTTACTGATTTTTTTGAAGCAGGAAAAATAAAACAGGAAAGATTTTAGATTTTTTATTCATTACATGCCATGTGTGAATTTTTATCTTTTCACTAAACTTAGACCATGTATTTCAATGAAAGAAACCTTTGATTCAAACATTAAAAGCTGTCTGTATGAAAACCACTGTAGTTTGAACTGATAATATTTTGCTGTTTGCTAATCCGTCCAAGAAACAATATAGTCATTGTACTGTATTATTTATTCCTCTTTCATGTGACATATAATACAGCACTTACCCTGCTTTCTTCTAGGCTATCAAATGGACCTGGTGGATCATCCAGACAAAGAAATTCTCTCACTGCAAGGCTTTTCAAAGGTAAAAAAATTAGCTGGTGTACAAATAAGTTTATGAAAGACAGCAGAAAGCAAAAGGCACATTGAAGCTATACAGTGCGTAAGGCAAGCAATTTGTAGACTATAAAAAAAAGCAATTTATGTATGTGCCTTCACGTAAGTAGCCACATGCAAATATCAAACTACAAAAGATGCAAAGGTATTATGCTATTAATAGTATCTTACAAATGTAAATAAAAATCACAAGTTTACTGCTATACACAAACCATAAGACACAATAAACACAATTCAGAATAATGACAGAGGGGAGCAACCTGTGTAGTGACCCTCACTCTGACTTTCAGACAAGCATCAGTACCAACAGGTGAACAGTTGTCACCTTGCTATAAAGGAAAGCAATTCTTTTTTTTTTTTTTTTTTTTTGAGACAGGGTTTCTCTGTATTGTTTTGGAGGCTGTCCTGGAACTCACTCTGTAGACCAGGCTGGCCTCGAACTCACAAAGATCCGCCTGTCTCTGCCTCCTGAGTGCTGGGGTTAAAGGTGTGCGCCACCGACACCTGGCGGAAAGCAATTCTTACTTATACTTTTCTCCGTGGAGTATTTCCAAAGTCTGAAAAGCCTTTACTCTGAAATACCTTAAAGAATGACCTTGCTATGCTTACTGATTTTATTTTCTTTGTTTTTTCGAGACAAGGTTTCTCTGTATTGTTTTGGAGGCTGTCCTGGAACTTGCTCTGTAGACCAGGCTGGCCTCGAACTCACAAAGATCCACCTGCCTCTGCCTCCTGAGTGCTGGGATTAAAGGTGTACAACACCAATGCCCAGTGCTTACTGATTTATATACATATTTTCCCCAGATGTTAAGAGAAAAAATTCTGAACATGTCTTAATTACTAAATGTTTTACATAATGAAGTATTATTCCCAAGGATATCATTTCTATCAGCAATGGATTAAGGAGGTGGATCATCAACTTCCTCACAATGAAATGCTCTCCTCTTTCTAACAGCAATTCTGGGACTGAGAGGTATGTGCAACTTCCTTTTTTTTTTTTATTTCTAAACGACAGGAATATGACTAATTGGCATACTACATAAAGGAGATACTGCCCTACATTGAAAACAATGGGGTTTTGGTGTCATATTGGTCCCAAGAGGTCTATAACAACAAGGCTGTGTAATCATGAAGAGGTAAGCTGTATATTAAATGAGAACTCCTCAAAAAGAAAAATAAGAATATAAAAAATATTATTAAGAAAAGAACACGGAGTCCAAAGAAAGAGCAAAGAAGCAGATGGCAAGCAAGCAAATTCTAGACTGTTAAAAGCTTTATAATATAGGGAAAAGGACATATGTTCAGGGAGGCTGAGAAAAGACAAACGTCCATGATCATGGAAGATTTTCAGTGTGATATAGAACCATCTGCTATGCTTTTGTCCTCTTTAAGCTTCAGGCATCAATAGGTGGTGTTCTACTTTTTTTTTCTTCCAGAAACTACCCCGTGAATCAGTTATTTCCTTTACTAAGTGGTAATTTGTCTCCCCATGGTTTATCAGTCTTCACTAGGCTCTTGACCATGGGGTAATCCCAAGTCTTTTACTTGACAACACCAAGCATTAAGGACCTTACTCCACTTCCTCTATTGCGTCACCTCCTAGAAGCAACACCAGCGTGTGACACTTTCACACTGCATCACAGCACTTTCATACTCACAGCAGCTCTGAAAGGCAACATACTTATTTCTCTATCTCAGAAAGGATATCGAAGTCTAGACAGAGAAAATGACCTTTACAGTGCCACATAGTACAAGTGGTAGAGATATCTTCTATCTGTCTTCAGAGTATACATCTGTGTTCCTGTCTATGTGAAAATTATTTTGTCTTATGTCTTGGTTAAGTCAAATCCTTCTTTGTAAGACTCCTCTCTGAACACACTCAATCTGCATGTATTACTATACAATTTTGGCCCTTAGAATACTGCAGCTGCTTCAACGGCACAAAGTAGAACAGGGCTACCAGTCTTCTGGTGTGGGAATTCTAACTCTACCCACCCACTCTTTCTATGAAGTACCTACAGTTAGATATAAGTGAGCATAGGAAAGACACTGTTCTTGGGCAGCAAATCTAAAAATCAGGAATTGAAAAGCAAGGGGGAAAAGATGTTACCCCTGTCCCATGGCATACTGTTAGTATGTGTGGGAAAATCAGTTTAAATCTGCTATTCATTCCCTCTCAAGAGAAATAAATTTACTGTCTGTACATGTCAGCACTGTCTTTACTTCCAGGAAAAATCTGTACTGTAGCTTGAATCCAAATGGCCTTTTAAACTTTGTTCCTAATAAACTAACCCATTATTAAACTTTCACCTTGTCACTTTCTTTCCATAGATAATACATTTCTTTAGACTTGACTAGTTTTTGAAAAGACTAGCAGTTTAGTAGCTAAATGGGCTTTATATTTCACTTTGCATTTTAAGAGAAAAAAAAAACAACAACAACAACCACAAAACAAACTGAGGCTTAAACTCATTGAAAGGTCAAATAAATAACGATAAAGAGTCCAGGGCAGCGGCACATCCTGTGTTTGGGAGACTGTGGCAGGAGGATTATAAATTACAGGCCAGTCTTGCCTACATAGCGGGGCCTTGCCTCTTAAAAATCAATAAAAGTATACTAAAAATAGCAATACCAAATTTGATACAGAAGCCACTACATAAAACTATTAAGAGGGATTCCAGATAAAAAGACAGACACAAAGACATGAAACCTAGCCTTAAGGATGAAGACTGAGGAATCCAGGCTGGAGAGGCAACCACAGTGTATGAGAGCAGTGGGTGTGGCTGTGAGACTTGTCAAGGATGGTCACCTTCCCCTGGGTACCTTTAGCCCATTAGAGCCCCTACTAATCCTTTTGGTTCTTTCTGAGTCAGAATATTGCCTATTCACAGCTCCTCCAGCAAGAGGGAGCAGAGCTTCCTTCTCAGAGCTGGCATGAACACTGGTTTTCTTGCATGATACCCTAGCAACCTGCGTCCTTGTGTCTAGAGTTGTGTCTGATGCTGACCAACCTCTACTCACGCTGCCTATTACCCTGATCAGCCATCCCACCTCAACCTGACTGTTGTGTTCCTGATGCAGCTTATCTATTATTACCCACAAAAGCTTCTCATTACCTACCTCCCCTCTTCTCCACAAGGCCCAGGGTTAGTGTCTGAAAGCTCCTTTTGACAGGACTTCTTATGATAAGCAGATTAATGAATTTAAAAGGAGAAAATATTGGAAATAAGATGTGAAATACTTGTGAAAACAACAGTAAAATACTGTTATGGTGTGTAATGGTGAAATGTCAGTGTAGGAGACAGCATAAAACAGCTGTTTTAGCTATGAGACTGTGCAAACAACTGGACGTCACTTTGATAAACCAAATACCATGCTGTTTCCAGCATATGACCTGTAGGCTTTACTTCTGCAGGTTGATTAGAAAATTCTCTTCCATCTGCAGGTTGATTAGAAAATTCTCTTCCATCTGGTAAATCCTTCTTCACTCCCTCAAACACAGCTCAAATATCACTAATTCTTTAGAGACCAGCTCAAATGTCATCCAGTCATAAGTTCTGACATTTTCTTGGTTAAAAGATATATTTCTTGCCATTATTGCTTCTGAGGGCACATTTTCTCATAATACAGGACCAACACCTACTTCATCTTTGTACAGCCATGTCTTCACGTAATAAGCTATAAATAAAAATTTGTTGAATGGGTCAAATTTCTAGTAAATATTGTTCTCATGGAAATAGTGCTTCTTTTCAATCTGTTTTTCCTTTGTGTTTTATAAATAGACCTGAAAACAATATTGTCACTACTTTAAACTAAGATTTATCAACTTCCCTTCATCTTTCCTCCACTTTCACCTTGTCACAGTTGGAGCAATTCTAACAGGGCTGCCAGCTGCACAATGACAACAGCTGTGTGGTAAGACACTGGTTATCAGAAAGTGCACATAGTCTATCAGAAGGGAAAATAAAGACTAACTTAACACATGAACAATTATTTATTTATGAAGATATACTTAATTTTAACTTTTTGATATTTTGCTGAGTATGGGAGTTTGTCTGTGTCTGTCTGCCCTATATGCACACAGTGCTCTTGATGAAGAGAAAAGGGTGTCAGATCCTCTTGGAGCTGGAGTTGTTAGCTGCCATGAGGGTGCTGGAATTTGAAACCGAGTCCTTTGGAAAAGCAGTCAGTGCTGTTAACCCCTGAGCCAACACTCCAGTACCCCCAAAACAGACAAACAAACAGGGTCTCATGTGGAGGCCAGGCTGGTCTGGAAGCTGAGATCCTCCTGCCTCAGCCCTGTGTGCTGGAGCCCATGATATACCACCATCCATTTCTTTGTAGTGATCTGTAAGTGCAGTTTCACAAAGAAATGTAGAAATTTTGTCCCTTCTTTTCTCCCTTAGGAGTATTGACTCTGTTCTCTTTTCAGCATTAAAAAAGTGAAAGACTCTTCTTTCCTTCACTTTTAAATACAATGAAGTCCTTGAACAGTGAATTCTTCTTTCCTCTACTATGTGACTTGAAGCAGAAGAGATCATGGAAATCCAGTACATGGAGTACAACAGGAACAGCACCACTGACAGCAGAATGCTGAAAGTAATTCAGCCTCAGACAGACTGAGAAGTAGGCATTTATGTTTATAGAAGAAACAGCCTCGAAAGGTAGAGAGACAACGCAATCATAAAGCAGGAAGCTACTATGCCAGTTTTAAGAAGACAACTTTCAAACCAGTAAAGGGTTCCTACATATACTACGAGGAAGGAGACACCTTGTTTTTCATGGTGGAGAGGCAAGGAGCTAGTCAAGAAAGCCAGTTACTTAATAAAGTCTGTGTTGAAATTTTGGGGATGTATAACCAAGTTACAGTGGAGTAGTAATTTGAAATATTGCCTTTCTAGGGAGCAATATACTTGAGACCAAGAAGCATGATAATGTTAGATACAAGATGGATATGGCAGATGTACAGAGAATGGATGAATGGAGAAATAACAAATCCAGGGCTGGAAAGACATTCAAGTCGCCTGGGACCAGAATGATCTCATCAAATTGCATCACAAAAATATCAGAGGCTTTAGTGAACTACAGAAGGCAGAGTGAGGAGAGGAAGACAAGCAGGAAAGACTACAGTAATTAATGCAAAGACCTGTTGCACTAGGATGGAGATGGCAGCAACAGAGAAAAAGCAGAGAAGTTTGAGTGGATCCTAAAACTTAAGGGAAGAGATTAAACTAGTGAAGGATGTATGAAAGATGACTTGCAGGTCTGGGTAACAATGATCCTGGAAATTGGGGGAAAACTATCTGAAGACTATTCTTCAAGCCGAGGCAGCACACACTAAAGAGTAGATGCTTATGTAGAGTATGCAGGTCTCATGCAGGGTTGAAGGTGACAGGCAAAGATGGAATGGAAAAAATGGTTAAGAGAGACAGATGGGTTCTTGGTTACTTTCCATCATTATGTGAAAAACTGCAAACAGTTAAGACATGTACCATATGTTACTATTCACTTTAAGTGCTCTCTGTAGGTTTTCAAAACAGTTCTAATTTTTCTAATAATGTAAATCCTTCAAACAAGCTAATTCATTAAAGGATTTTCTTATATTCAGAAGCAAAAAAAAATTCTTGATCCTTTTCATACATTGTTCAATATTTCTAGAAATTTTACTAATGAATTATTCTAACTTCCTAATTTTTATATTACTTTGGAGAGACATAAAAATATTAGCATACGTTGAATGTTAGCTATTTTGTCTAAATGATTGCTAATATGCTGGATACTAAAATCAAGTTCATAGCTGGGTAGTGTGAGGACACTGTACACTGAAATTCCCCCTTCATGTTTAAAGCTTTAATACAAATGAAATGCTAAATAAAATCCTCAACTGAAAGAAAGCAAAGAAATTCCTTGCTGAGATTTATTTGAGAGAAGTAATTATATTCCCACTCTCCATTATGTTCTGATATGAAGTTGGTCCTAAATTTATTCTTTAGTTTAAACTGGTTTTTAAAATGACTTCAGAAACTCTTGTTTAAATTGTTACATACCAGTTAGCAATGTCCTTGTGAGCTACTAAGTTTTGAAGAAATGCTTGTAATCCTAATTGTCTATCTTCTAGAAAATCAGCATTGTAATTATCTTTAAACCAGCGTTTTGGAGGAAGTGCTAATCGAAAGCCTGGAAACATCTCTTTCAACTGAAAAAAAGAGGAGAGAGAAAACGTTGAACTCAGTTACATGAATTGAGTACTGTTCTATACCACTGACTTTGTGAAATTATTCACCAAACAAGCTTAAGCTAGTTGAAGCAGCTAAGCCTTTTTCTGCATTTGCTTCTTGATGCTTCCCAGAGCTGAGCATACAGGCATTCTAATTGCTCCACACCAGTGCCTGCACATGGTATTTTCCACTTTCTCTTGTTAGTCATCCTGGTGTAAGGAGTGGGATTCACTGCTGCTGAAATTTGCATTTCTGATTTCATACATACTATATAACTGGCTATTTGCATCTTTTCTCTGGTGCATTATCTATCTAACTTTGGACCAGCCACTGATCAACCCATATAAAGTTGGCTGGAGCTTTGAAGATGGAGGAATCACACACAAGGATGTATCTACATCCTAGGAATGTTCTCCAGCTGACAGGCAGAAATCAAACAAATGCCTTGTTCCTACAATGTCAAAAAACTAAACTGATCAAAACCTGAATGAGCTTTGAAGCTGATTCTTCCCCAGAGACAAAAGAGTTCAGCCTGGCCAACAGACTGACTGGTCCTAAAAAGCATGCAAACCTTGTCCCAAGCCACTATTAAGAAGTTTTTAATGGTGTAGACAGCAATAAAACTAATACTAATATTACATATTTTTGTTTACTTTCCTTTAAAGTGATATTAATTAGATTTTCCTCAAACTTTTGAAGTTATATAATCATATAAGAAATATTATGCATTTCATATTTATATTATAACAATTTTTTTCATGAACATGCAGCTAACTGTGCAGACAACACTAAAGAAATGAAGTCTATGATTTTCTTACAAACCCACAAAGACTAAGGGAACAGATTCATAACTCACAACTGAGAGGCAGCTTGGGATTTATTGACTACTTACTTTGTCATTAAGCCTAGAGAAGTCAGTGTATCTTCTGAAAACTACCCAGCTTTCTTCTGGGGTTTTCTTTACTAGTATTTTATATACCTAGAAAGGGAGTAAGGGAGAGATACAGTGAAAGTGATATTTAGAGAGGAACGGGAGAAAAAGAGGGAAAACAAAGAAAGAGGTCAAACATTTCTAGAAAACTTTACTTGGTACACCAAGCAATTTTTATGCAACAAATATGAAGTCATTCAGATAACCAAATATATGGAGATGGAGACAATTTTTAAAAGTATGACCAAGACAAAACGCCACAGCACATGTGTAGACATCAGAGAGCAACATCCAGGACTTTTTTTCTTCTTTTCTACCTTGTAGGTCCCAGGAATGAACTAAGGCCATCAGATTTGGTGGCAAGCACTTTTACTTACCGAGCCTTTGCACAGTTTGGCTCTTAGTAGCATCATCATGGAGGTTAGGCTTCAACATATGAATCAACGTGGACAAAAACACTCACACCCTAGCAGAATCTTAGTGAGTATACATTCTTTCATAAGATGTGCAGGTCAATATAGACAGTCATTAGGTTATAACTGGTGAAATGAATGGTTTCACGCAGATTCACACCTTATCCCAGTGTATGATAACCTCACCCTATACTAGACTGTTTCTTCAAAAATAACATCAACAGTTCTCTCTTTCAGGCTTAAGCTAACAGCATGAACCATCAGAATAAACATAAAAACTTTACTGCAAGAAAACCCAAAAACAAACCCTTTGATCTAATGTAACTTTAGCAGAGTTAATAATAAACACATACAGGTCAACATGTATAAACACACAGTATTATAGTATATAAACTTGGCTGGGTGTGGCGACTCAGGCCTATAATTTCAACACCTGAGAGACAGAGGCAGATTTGTACGGTTGCAAGGTCAGCCTGGTCTACACAGTGAGTTCCAGGGACAGCCAGGACTATACAGAGAAACCCTGTCTCAAAATACCAAAAAGGAAACAAACAAACAAACAAACAGACAAAAAAAACCCTAAGAAATATTAAAGCTGGACAGATTTTTAAAAAATTAGTTTTAAAAATAGAAAACAAATATAGATCTCATCTAAGTATCAAACAGCCATACCAGACAAATCTGACCATAAGACCTGCACCAGCAACTACAAAACATTATTAGGAAGAATTAAAGACTGAAGTCAATGGGTTCATCAGATATGTGAAGATGAATGTTCTTTCTAGCTGATCTGTATCTAACAAATCCAGTGCACAGGGCAGATGATAGCAAAGGCCATCCTGAGAAACAACAGAGTTTGGGTGCTGAGTTTAAGCACTGTTGTAGAACTGGTAAAAGACAGAAAATTTTACCTTTCATAAAGGTAAATCTGGAAATGAAGACAGCTTTTACATAAAAGCCCGAGTAAGAGATTCCACAGAAAAATATAAATGGCTTGGCCTTTTGCATAACATAGACATAAGAATCACTCCTGGATGGTCTTCTTACAACATTAGAGGAGGCAAAGATTATAAAAAAGTGCCAGGCAGAGCCAGGTGTAGTAGACATGCCCTAATCCTAGCATTTGAGAAGCAGAGGCAGCAGAATGGCATGTCTGAGAACAGCCTATGTTACACAGTGAGACACCATCTTAAAAGAAGAAACGATGGAAAAAGAGAAAAGAGCATTAGTAAGACAAGAACAATAAACTGGGATGTTAAAGCTATGTCTAGCACCTGCACAAAGGAAAGGTAAGAACAATTAGAACACACATCTTGAAAAAGGACTTGTGTCTAGAATGCAGAAAACTACAAAATGGTTATATATAAGTGAATGTGTAAGAGACTATCCAAATAGTCAAAAAGGTTTGGATTTTTTTATTTGCTGTTTGAGACAGGGTTTCTCAGTGCAGCCCTGGCTGTCCTCCAGCTTAAGAGATCCACCTGCCTCTTTCTCCCAAGTGCTGGGATTAAAGCCACCACTTTCCAGCTAGGTTTTGAACGTTTTAATACAATTAGTCATTATGAAAACTCACATTTAATATAAATTAGAATACATAAGAAAGAAGGAAAAAGGTGACACACTAGGAAGGTGTGGAATGAGTGAAAAATCCCACACTGAGTGCAATGACCCTTACAGGTATAGCTCAGCAGTATCTTTCAAAGCTGGGCTTCTGAACTAGCAACTTTACTCCTAAGTAGATTGCAAATGGAAATGTGGACATGTGATTCCCAAGTGATCAGTACTAAACAATCGCTGCAGTTGTGTCTGAAAGAACCTAAAAAAAAACAAAAAAACAAAAAAACAAAAAACAAGTATTACCAGCAATAAAAATGAGCTACCTAAATGTATGCAAGATGAAGGGTGGCCCTTATAAGCACAATGCTGAAACAAAACCGGATCCCAAAGAGTATATGCTCAACCACCACATTTATGTCTACTACAAAGAGGGGCAAAATTATTTGAGGCTACCAGAAAAATACCAGATAAGTACGTACTGACTGTTAGGGAGCATGGGGTATTCTAAGTGTACTAACAATGCTCTTTTTCTTTATCTGTGTGCTAGTTACAGAGGTATGTCTGGTGGTAAGATAAGAGTTTGTAATAGCATGGCAGAACTCACTGGGTAAAAGACACAGAATTTTATGGTCATGAATTTGAAGTATAGACTTGCCTTAATAAGCAAGAACTTAGGCACAGGGGTGACCAATCTTCGACTTCTCACTGGTGTGCAGCAGAAGCCAATACTTACAGTAAATTTGGCTCGCTCTTCCATAACTTCATAACCCAGAATTGTAGGCGTAGAAGGCCTCTCTTCCCAATTCACTGCGTCAGGATGCTGATCTTCAGTGTCCCTTGGTCTAGCAGAATATTCAATGGATGAATCTGCACCAGTGAATTTAGTCCTAATGAGAGGACTGCCACAGACCGACGATGTACTGTCCATCCGATCCTGAACATTCGTCTGCTTAAAATTACCCACATTCGAGTCTTCTAACTGGCCTTTGGACGAGTTTGAGCTAGTGGAGACACTACCAAAGGAAGAACTCCTTTGATTTCTGTTGGTTGTAAAACTGGAAGCAGAGTTTCCTATTGGCATAGGAACTGGGACGTAAGGGGTTGCCATCTTCTTCGGCCTTGGCAACAAATCTGTATACCTTTGACTCCAAACACTTAAAGAACAACCAATACGCAGCTCATATTTTCTTCTTAGGAATTCACTATCTAAAAATGAAAAGGAGATATTGACTGGTTAGTCTTCTCCCTAGAACATAATCCAAAAGAAAACAAAATGTTCTTTTTAATTTGTGACACTCAATTATTTTGTGAAGACATACTAACACCTTCCTTTAATCTGAATTATCTCCATGAACTCATTTGCAAGGTAAAGAGAGCAAACTTACTCATCTCTTTTCTTAACACTCATAATACATGGCAGCCTTTTTTTTTTTTTGCCTACTTTAATTCCTTTATTTTTGCAACATTCATTTCAAATGGACTTAACCTAACATACACACAAACATGTTCCCCTCAACGGAGGAAAAATAAGGGAAGTTTTGTCATCCTGATAGTACTATAGGAACAGTCTGGCAAAAGAAAGGAAAAGCCATCCACACTGCCCTTTTTATACACCAAGTACTTAAATATGCTAATCAGTCAATCAGAAACTTAGGTTGTATGTATTAAGTGTTCTTTTATTTTGGAAGATTTGCAAATACTAGGCAGGTATTCTACCTCTCTCTCTCTCCTTAAAAAATGTTTTTAAGTTTTGGATGAAGCCTCAATAACTTACCAACGTGCTGCCTGTGACCTTGCTAAGTAGCCCAGATAGGCTTGAACTTTTGATCTTGCTGTGGCCTCCAGAGTCGCAGGGATACACACCTGTACCACCAAGCCAGCAACAACCGTTCTGAAAGTAACATTTTATAAAACTTAGCATCAGATATATTTCAAAAGAAAATTTAATCAAGTTAATGAATTGTGATCAGGAACTGATCAAGATTTACAGTCAACAAAATTAAGTGATTAAAATTTTGTTTTAGTTTCTAGATGATTCTCGATTAACCTAGAGTCCAAAAGATGGCTGTATTTTGTGTTAGAATAATTTTGTATTATAAAGAAGTCATGGTTTGTGATTACATCGTTAAGTAATAAACTCTAAAATTTTAAGTACCAACCACTAGAAATGACAGGTCTAGACTCAACAACAGGGGATCTACCAGCCCAACTTCATTTGCCCTTGGCAAGACGCTGAAACGGGATTTTTAACCTCATGTGGCCAGCGAACCTTCCTTACAGACGAATGGATATTCGAGAAACCTGAGCTGCTGATTCACCTCTTGCATTCTTCTGGATGCTCCCCCCCCTCAATAAAAGAATAACTGAGCATGACTTCTCGAGTTCTCGGCGCCAGCTGTGACACCTGCCACCTGAGGCCCCGGGCTGCCACAGGCGGCCTAAGCGTGCACCGGGGGATTCCACCCGCGGGGCTGCGAGCGTGCGGAGGGCGTGTCGCGTTCTCTGGGGGCGCCCGACGTTTGTCCTCCATGAGGATGCTCCAACGCTACCTGGCTCACTTGTCCAGGTGAGGTGGGTGGTGGGACGCAGGCCCAGGGGTGCCGGCAGGGCGGTGCGGTCGGCGCGGGCTGCGACCCTCGGGCCCGGCTCGGTCGCCTCCAGTCCTCCCGGGCGACCGAAGGTCAGGGACGCAAGGGGCGCGGCGGGGGGCCCTGCAGCGTCCCCGCACCCTCCCCGCACCCTCCCGCCAGCCGTCGAGGCGGCAGGTGTCCCCTCGTCCTACCTCGGCTTGCAGGAAGGCTGCGCCTCTTCGACTGCGGCGGGTCGTCTCCTTTCCCGGCACCGGGACGCCGCACGTGACCTTCCGCCCGAAAGCAGCCGCTCTGTGCCTCAGCTCCGCCACCCAGCCCGGTTCCCGCGAATCGGAGGGAGGGGAGCCGCTCCCGGAAGTGACGCCACACCACGGCGCCGCCCCCGGAGGCTCGCACGACAGTTGTTGGTCTATGTCTGTCTCTGCAGTAGCCAGAACAAATCTAATTTCCTCGCGGGGAATCGATGGTTTTTCACAGACTTTATTATTATTAAAAGTGACTTTCTGAGAAATGGAGCTGCGAGATCCAGTTTGCCAACTAGGCGACACAAAGACTTCAATTCCCAGGAGGCACTGTGGGTATCCTTGGTTCAGGCTCGAGCTTTGCATCTTGGGATTTGTAGTTCTCACTGGCTTGGGGAGGGGCGCTCTAAAAGGTTATTAGTTATTTTCCATAATTAGCAGCTTTTTGATGAATGCAAACTGATTTGAAAAATAGGCAAGTAGAACAAGAATTCATTGTGTATTCGTCCCATGTAATTCAGGACTTTTTTTCTGACAAAAACTTCCTGAATTTCTTAGTAATTTATCCTAAATGATAACAATATTGGGCTGCTTAGGTCTGCTTATTTTAAAACCTGTGATGTTTCAGTAACACTACTATTTGGTGGTTATATATCAAAGTTTACAGGACCATTTATCAATAGAATTGTGCAATCTGATTTAAAGATCATTTCATGGTTTCTAGGGCTTCGGGGCAATATCAAGTGAATGAAAAAAGAGAAATAAAAAGGAAAAGGAAACATGGATGCCCCTAGGTATGGTGTAGGTTTATTGTGTATATGTGGGAGAGCACAGGTAGAGGCAGACACATGGTCGTCCAGGGAGGCCACGCTGGTCATGACTAGACTGAGCTGTGCTCTGGGGCAGGCGAGGGAGGGGAAGGGAGAGGGGAGAGAAGAGATCCAGGTATAGCAGCCAGGAAGCCAAAAGTATAAGAAGGAGCAGGCAACCAAAATGTCTGGATTACATAGGGAAGAGAAGCTCAACCCCCTTGGCTGGTGAGTTCAGGATAGGGGGCCAGGTATGTCAGCCAGGAGGACCTGTAACAGGTAGGGACTGAAGGATGCTGGGAGAACCTGGCAGCCAGGTCTGCTTTGATGTGTTAAACAGGTGTATTCGTTAGGGTTCTCTCTCTCTCTCTGGGAATTTATTGGAATGATGTACATGCTGAAGTCTAACAATGGCTAGTTACCAATGGAAAGTCCATTAGTAGCTGCTCAGTCCCATGAGGCTGGGTGTCTCAGCTGGTCTGCTGGAACCCTGAAGAAGGCATGGATATGCTGATGGAGGTGAGGGAAGCAAACAAAGCACAAATCACAAATCCCTCCTTCTTCCCTTGTCCTTACGGAAGCTTCCAACAGAAGGTGTGGTCCAGATTAAAGGTGCACCTCCAGCCTCCAGGTCTGTATTCAAGGCCCAAGTCATCCAGCTTCAAGATCCGGATCAAAGGCATGTTGTCTTTCTGTCTCAATTCCAGATCACAGGTGTGCCCTCCATTCCTGGACTGTGGTTCATTCCATATTTAGTCAAGTTGACAGCCAGCAACAGCCATCACAACAGGCACTTCAGCCATTTGTCCCAGGGTTGAAATATAGCACCATGAAGGGATAAACTGATAGTGGTAATTCCAAAATGATTGTATGATTTCCGACATAATTGTAGTTCTTATTGGAGAAATACTATCCTTTAGGTATGAGTGAAGTAGAATTCTTTGAAAACAGGAAGGTAGTTTTCAGGATGAAATTGGAGGTTTTGTCATTGAGTAATATCATTGAATAAGGGGAAGAAAAAAGCAAAGAAAAAAAATGAGCCACAGAGTATTTCAGTCAATATGTACAGGGTTACAGGGGCCAGGGGAATCAATCTTCTTTCGAGAAATAAGAGTGTAGAGGGACCATAATGTGAAGAAAGTTGAAGATCTTGAAAAGGTTGTTGGACTTGTCCAAGAGTAATTTTTAAAACAGATTATTGAATGGAGAATAACAGAACACACACACACACACACACACACACACACACACACACACACTCACTCACTCCCTATCACACATTTTATGGTACTGGTAAATATCTAGATTTTACTTCCAAGAATTAGCTTTAGTAACTAAATGGCTTTAGTAACTAAAGAGGAACATTCTGTGTGTAGTCAAGATAAAGGCTACATTGTCATAGGCTATATATACTGGCCAGTTCCTACTTACAGAACGTAGTTTACACCTGGGATTTTTCTTCTATACAGTCCACAATTGAACTCAATTGTTCTCAGAGCTTACAGAATAAGGTTATTGTTTTGACTTTTTGTTATTATATATATATGTATATATATATATATATATTTCACACACACCCAGTATATTATTAAACAAGATGTTTAGCTCTTATCAGCCTGAGGTGATAGTGGTGTGTGAAGGAAGAAGAGGCAAAAACTGCAGCAGAAAAGAGGTATTTGAAAAGGGAAGGTATCTTTTGAAGTGGCTTATTAGTTAACCAGATTTCCCCCCTCTAAGAAATTGCTCCATTTTCTGTGCATTTGATTTCTCTGGTGGCTAAATTTATATCCCTGTTAATACACATCTTTATTATCTTTTGTTTTCAAGCAGAATATTTGATCTAACTTGTATCCAACAGGAACTTATTCCAAACAGCTAAAATGGAGGCGGGGTTGAGGAAAACCCAAAGGTTGATGTCACAGAAACTGAGATGAAAGGACTATCTGCAGTGAGAAGTCCCTGAAAGTCTCACTGCTAATTCCTCTAAAATTGGTCAGTTCCTTCCCCTTCTTGACTTTTCCTTGAGCTCTGTGAAATAACCCATGGGTTTTTTACAACATACTAGCTATTTGCCTAAATCTGGTAAAAGTTACTCTTTAAGTGTATAACCCAAAGTGCAAGTAACACAGGCAAACTGAAAATGCATAGTAGATGCTAATAAAAGTCCTATAAACATTTAAATTGGGCTGAAGAGAAGGCTCAGTGGATAAAGTCCTTGCTGGAAAGGTGCGAGGACCAGAGATCGGATCCCCGGTACCCACATAAGACAACCAGTAGTGTGTGCGTGCGTTTGTGCGTGTGTTTCATCCCAGTTCTTAGGAGGTGGACATGGGGGAATCTCTGGATCTAGGCTACCTATGCTAGCTGAATTAGTTTCAGGTTCGATGTCAGATCTTGTCGCAGTAAAAGGAAAGATCAATCAAGGATGAAGGATGATACATGTCTGCCGCGCCCGCTGTGCAGCCTGTATCCAAGAATGTGCGGAGGGTGTTGGGATTGATGACACAGAGACCAGCCGGAGATGTAAAGAAAACTTTAAGCAGGCCCCAAGAAGGCTCAAGAAAACTTCCCAAGAAAGGCTTCCATCAAGAAAAGCTTCCACTCCCTCTCTTACCCCTGGCTGGTTCTGCCCTGACACCAGAGACTGTGGTGGGTGGGTCAGAAAGAGGCAGTTAGTCTTTGGAAAGTTCAAGGTCAGGGCATTCCCGTGGGCGTTCCCGTGGGCGAGCCCCTTTCAGGAATTTATTGCTCCGGTAAACATTTCTTATGAACACAGGACTGTTTTCAGTAAACATGTTTTTAGTAAACATTGTCTTACATCTTCCTGCCCCCAGGCTGATGGGGAAGTGGGTCTCCGGCTAAGGTCTGTTGTCCCCACACATGTCTGATTTGCTTACATGTGTATAAGCATCTTCACGTGCCCACACATGTGTGAACACATATGCAAACATGCACACCACACAAAACATATACAGATAATAATTTAAATGCATAATTTCAAAATAAAGTGACATACATCATAATGGAACACTATTAGTCCATCCCTTCGATGCCTCTGTACAACAAGCTGATGCTTATAATGTAGGAAAACAATTCCTCAGTAATTTATAACTAAAAAAGAAAAACCACGAAATAATCCCCACTAAGTTCTAAAAAAATGAATTCTCTGATTTGTGCTTGTTCTCCCTAGGTGGCATTCGCATAATCTTGCTATTTAGGATCGGTACTGTACTTGCTCTCTATGTCACTGTCGTGACATTGTGAGTCTAGAGAAAGAACCACAGGTGATCTCTTTCTGGAGCTCTGGGAGGTCAGCAGAGCAGCAGTGTGGTGACGCGACACAGGACTCTATCCCCACGAGTCTGTGACCTCTCCAGCTTCTTACTTTTCATGCTGTGTGGAAATCCTACAGGGAACATATCAAAGTGACACAGATTTTCCCTCAAAATCAGATTCATATTCTTAGATCTGAGAACACGAATGAGGAAAAGCCTTTGTTTTCCTGAGAAGGATCCTGGCCATTTTCTTGAGCTCAGATAGCCAATTCATAATTTTTTCTTCTCACCATGCAGCTACACTCTATCCTTTTTAGGTGTCTTTGACTTTCCAATGGTTAGCTTCTGCTACATTTTCAAATAGTACCTGACCCTTGGGAGATTTCCATATACTTTATGTATGAGGACTGTCTCTGCACTGAGCCTTTAGGGGTTAGCAGGAATTGTTAGAGGAGAGAGGGTAGTCTTTTTACATATAGTGAAAGGCTTGAGAGAGGACACAGCATCAAGTGTGGGGTGTTGAGGGATGGTTAGGGGCTAGGGACAGTCTGATGGAACTGAAAGGTGTTTGTAGGGTGTCACTGGACATAGACATGAGCTTCTGGTTGCCCTTTAGACTATCTCAGATGTGACCTTATCATTCCTTCCTGTTAATCCTAGATGGAATTCGGAAAGCCACCCTCTATTACCCTATTGTTCTTGGTTCATGAATGGAGGCTGACATCATATTATATCATAGGTGTATACTGGTTCAGCCTCGGGGCCTGGACTATGTATTAGATACCTATCTGTCCACAGAGTCTTAACACCAAATAAAGCATACTCCCCATAATTACATCTTTTAAATACCTGGTCCTTTTTCCACATTTACATTTTCACGAGATCATTTTAGATATTTGTACTTCTAGTTTTTTTTCCTTTAGCTTTGATAATGTATCTAGTTCTAATTTGCAAAGCAAAATCTAAATACTTATCAGAGTCCTATGAGCTCCATCCTGAAGTTTATATTATCCCCAGAACAATCAGTCAGCTAATCAATTAATCAGGTACTTGCTGGAAACCTGCCATAGGGAATGCACCTCAAAGGCCAGCTATACCCATTATTTGACACTCTGAGTGCTCAAGTCTTTCTCTTTATATGATTTTTCTGATGCTTTTGCCTCTGACTTTCCTGTGTCCTGCACCCCAGTTAAGGGGCTGAGCCTTAAGCCAGTCACTTTACCCCAGTGCCCACATTCCTCTTGACAAACCCCTGTGTGGCTTTGCCCTCACCTCCAGCAAATGGGATCATTTCTGTGTTAGCCTCTTGGACCAGACTGTAAACTCCTTGAGGGCAAGAAAGATGGTTTTTTTCCTCTATTGGTTGGCAGAACCTCCCACTAAGTTCTGTAGGGCTAAGTTGAATAAATAAATGAATGTAAAAAAGTGAATGAAATTTTCATACTTTTCTTGTCTTTTCTTCTGGTTAGGGATTCTAACACCCACACCTTTTCAGTGGAATTTTGTTTCGAAGAAACATATGGAAGCTTAAGAACAAAATCAGGGCCGGGCATTGGTGGTGCATGCCTTTAATCCCAGCACTCGGGAGGCAAAGGCAGGCAGATCACTGTGAGTTCAAGACCAGCCTGGTCTACCGATCGAGTTCCAGGACAGCCTCCAAAGCCACAGAGAAACCCAGTCTCGAAAAACCAAAAAAAAAAAAAAAAAAGAACAAAATCAGAGCAACTGTGATGAAAGAGAATGAGCACTATTCTTGCCGAGGGTAATTAATTGTAAGCCACTAGAATGGCCAGGGGACTTATAAGGTCTCCTTCAGATCTGACACTTGGAGTTTATGTTACTAGACCATAGTCTACTTAGCAGCACTAAGGTCTCTGGAAAAACTTAGGAGAGTGAAAGTTAATTTAAAACCAGGAAGCCAAACTTCTGAACTTAAGCAGACCAATGAATCAGATTGCATTGCACTTTTACAGCTTTGTCTTAAGTTGGTTTGAGAAATGCTCGCGGCATATGACTAAATTGAAATCTCTAAGTTCCTCACAGTGTCAGCATTTTCAACATCCCAGTTTGTAAAACAATTTTCCAAAAGGGGGGAATAAAAAATCCTTTCTGGTAAAAAGCTAAGACATGGAAGGGCAGCCTGACTCCTGTGTCTGTCAGCACTGTCATTGTTGTTTATCTCCTAGAGGAGTTTGACACCTTCCAGGGAGTCTTTTATTAGGGTCTTCTGCACTTCCTCATGTACCTGTGGTTCTGCACTAGTTCTCCACAGGGTTGTTGTGAGAGTTGGAACCATCAAGCTTTCGAAGGGCTTGGTACCGATGGAAGGAAAGCAGCTCCTACTGCTATTTCCAGAGCTTCGAGGAGTTACTTTCAAAATATGCGAACAGTGGAAATAATAATGTACTTAGATGTATGTTGAGTGTATGGATATTGGGCCTCTCTACAAAGAAATTTCATGTATATTCATTGTTTTTGTGTTTTCTCTGTTCTTCCTTTGTTGACTTCTAGTTACCTCTCTGTCATTTTGCTTTATTGAGATAAGACTGACAAGCTGTACAAGTTTAAAGTATACAATGTGATAATTTGTATGTATTAGGAACTGCTTGCCTCAATAAAGGTAGTGAACATATTGGATTAATTTCCATAATTCTCACAATAATTTCTTAGACACCATTGTTACTGTATATGGCATTTTGCAGACCTCTATCCTTCCCTCCTTTCCCCCTACCCCCGTGTGTGTGTGTGTGTGTGTGTGTGTGTGTGTGTGTGTGTGTGTGTGTGTGATGAGGTCTCTATGTAGCCCAGGCTGGCCTCATAGTCCATATCCTCCTGTCTTAATCACCCATGTCCTGGGATTATAGGCATTTGTCACCATGTCTGACCTTTCGTCTGAGCATATAAAATGGTTCAGTCTCTGTGAGGAGCCACATCTTAATATTCATCTAAATGTATTGGTTGAGCTCCTGCTATATGCAACACTTATTGCTCTAAGCCTTGAGGAATCCACTAAGAAGATACGTGAAGGCCTTGTGCTCATGGAAATCACATTCTTGTGAATATGTGTTCAGGGGTAGTCAGTAGACATGTGATGTAAGTTTTAAGAATTTAGCTAGACTTATATTCTTTGAAGATAAAAAAGCAGAGTAATATGGTAAAAAGTGGCAGAGGCAGAGGAAGTGAAATGGTTCTCTGTTGTAGTGCCAACTTTCCTGAAGAAAAAAAAAAACGCCCCAAATTGCTGAGATAAGAAAACAATCTTACAAAAATCTGGAGGTCACATCTTCAGGAAAGCAGCCTCACATGTTCCCTGAGAGAAGAAAGGAAACAAGTTAATTAGTAAAGCCTCCATTTTCATTTTCCTCCTAAGTGTCGTTTCCATTCCAGGGAAGGTATTTCTCTAATCACAAATGTGGTCTGCATGCCCCCTGAGACTCTTCTAAATCTTCACTTGCTTGTTAAGGAATCCTCACCGCTTACAAATTTTCTTTTCCTAGAGTATTTTCGGCATCACTGGGGGGTGTAATTCAATGCTCCGGGGAGCCTGTTCTGGTTATTGCTCCCTGCCACCGTTGTAGGATGAGACGCTGTCTCTGTGTTTGCCTTGACAGCTCTACAGTGGCCTTTGCCCTAACAGAAATTAGATGTGCAGTGTCTCTTGACTTCAACCCTATGCGGCCACAAGCTGGAGCTCCACCAGCGGTGCTGTCGTACGACCCCCCTGATGAGGGAGGGCAGCTGATAATTACACTGAAGCAGCTTGTTTCTCTTCAGCTGGAGTCCTAAAGCATTGCAGAGCGGTGAGTCAACCCTTTCAGTTTTGTTTCCCGGGCAGCTGCATGCCACGTGGGAGGCACATGGGAAAAAGGGCTTCTAACAGCCATGTAGTGGGCCGAACTGGATGCCCGCTCTCTGTGTCTCTTTATGTCTAAAGCATTGCTGCCCTATGACTCACAAGAGGTCTGAGCCCACGGCTGAACATCCCAAAGGTCCATGCCTTCTCAGGCCGCATGAGCACCTTTGATTAGGTGAGCCACTGGGGATGCTGGCTTCTTAGGTATCTGAGATACAGGGACTAGTGATCAGGAGTCTTGAGGTTTGCCTTAAGGGTTGTCCCTGGATACATTGTCCCAAGCTTTCTAGAATTTATATGAACTAGTTAGTATCTGTATAACAATATCAGACAGAGCTTGCCTCCTTGTGATGTGAAAAAACAGGCCAGGAGAAGACAAGAAAAGAGACTCCCCCACCCAGGGCACATAAACAAGGAAACACAAATTCCTTTGCCTGCCTTTGAGAGCCACTTTGAAGTGAAGCCAGGACCAGGATGTCAGAGGGAAGCAGGACAAAGCCTTTGGAGGATACCATTGAGCCTCATGTCTACTTTGCTGCTTGAAATTACCTGAGTTAATGCATTTCCTAGTGAAAGCAAATTCAATGCTGGATTTTCTGTTGATACTAGTTTTACAACAATAAATACAAACATAACACCCAGCCTTTCCCAGAACTTTCTTTAAAGTCATTCAACAAATTTTTTATTGAACACCAACGTATTAATGACTCTATCATTGCAGTAAACCTCATAAAAGTATTATCTATGCATCTGCATGTGCATACTTCATATGCAGACAGAGATAGCTAGATTGGTATAAAGACATATATATTGAGATACATATAGATAAAGGTATAACTCTGGCTATATGAATGGTTACAGGCATAGATCCAGGCATAAAGATGTGCAACTAGGGTCAGGAAGATGCCTCGATGGCTTAAAGAAAGCACTTGCTGACAAGTCTGTCAACCTGGATTCCATCCCTAGGATGGATTCGGTAGAAGTAAAGATCTTCTAAACGCACACTGTAGTACTCACATCACACACACACACACACACACACACACACACACACACACACTGTAAATACAAATCATATTTTTAAAAAGTTGTTGTACCAGGTTTGCGGAACCCCAGAGACTAACCCAAGGAGTCCACACTCTGATGCAAAAGCAAAAGGTTCCATTTATTGTTCAGTTGGCCAGCCAGATCTCTTTCCATGGTGGAGGAAATGAGCTGCCCACTAGCCAAAAGGAGAAGTTTTTAAAGGGGCAGACCATGAGGTTGAAGGCCACAAATTTCAGTTTCCATGGTTACTTAAGGTCATACAAAGTATAGAGTAAAGCAGTAACTATATATTTTAAGCAATATACATTTGAGTAAGATAAGACAGGGCATGGGCTTGCAGGGTTACCGGGGTCACAGGGTTCTGTCAGGGATCCCCTGGGCCTGGGGATCTTTACAGCTGGCAGGGGATCTTTATGGCCAGCAATTAGCAAGGAATGTTAGCAGGAGTGGTGGACAGTTGCCTCCCCGTCTCGGAGAGCAGGGAGTGCACCAGCCGTGGCACTCCTGATTTAAAGAGTTTGCTTTTCCATTAGAAGTTCCCTTTCTCCGTATAGATTTAGGGCCCAGGTTTTTAAACTTTTATTAGTTTTAATTTTTTGTCCCTCAAAAGTAACTTAAAGAAGGAAATGTTTACTCTAGCCCACAGTTCCAGAGTCCAGTCCCTCATGGTGGGGATGCCAGAGCAGCAGGGGCCTGACGTATCTGATCACATTTCTCCTGTCCCACCTGGTCCCACAGCCATTCAGCCTCAAATAAACACACAGAGGCGTATATTAATTATGAGCTGTTTGACCGATGGCTTAGGATACTTGTTGTCTAGCTCTCTCTTAGTTATTTACCCATTACTATTAATCTGTGTATCTCTACATGACCTGAATTTACCTGAGAATGCCTGTTCTATCTGTCTGGTAGCTTCATGGTGTCTCTCTGGTGACCTCTCTGCCTTCTCTCCCCAAAAGTCTCATCTGGTAGCCCCACCTACACTTCTATTCTTTCTGCCTGGCTACTGGCCAGCCAGTGTTTTATTCATCAACCAATAAGAGAAACATATATTCCCAGCACACAAGACATCCCCCATCACACATTCATGGAGCAGAGAGGGACAAATTCCTCTTCTCAGTTTCCTTTTCCTGCGTACAGTCCAGGGTCCCAGCCAGAGACAAGGAGCCACCCACACTGGGCAAGTCTTGCTTAGTTAATCAGTCAAGATAGCATTCCCATTGTCATGCCCAAAGGTGATTCTGTGCTCTGGATTTTGTCATGTTGACAGTTCACACTACCCACCATATGTATGTCTTTTGGGTATGGTGTGTAAGCAGTTCAAGCCAGTGTTCCTTGAAATCATTTTTAACATGTATTTTAAAAATATTTATTTATTCATTCTTACTTTTTTTTTTTTTGAGACAGTTTCTCTGTGTAACAGTCCTGACTGTTCTGGAACTCACATTTTAGCCCAGGCCTCAAACTCACAGAGATCTTCCTGCCTCTGCCTCCTGAGTGCTGGGATTAAAGATGTGCACCACCACTGCCCGGTGGATACATTTATTTAATGTACATGTGTGCTCAAGTGCTGGTGTTCTCTGAGGAGCATGTGGAGGTCAAAGTACAACTTGTGGGAGTTGACTTTTTTCTTTCCACCATGAGGCTCTGGGAAATGAAACTCAGATCATCAGGCTGGCAGCAAGATCTTTACCTGTTGGCCATCTCTCTGGCCTCCAGTGTCTCCTAAAATCCTTATTTGGTGGGTGCTAATTTAGAGGACCGCCCTAATTGCACAGTGACACTTCCTCTAACAAGACTATACCAATTCCAACAAGACCACACCTCCCAATAGTGCTGCTCCCTTAGGAGGCCATTTTCTTTTTTTTTTAATGTTTTTTATTTAAATTAGAAACATGCATGCTTCAAATGTCTATCCCGGCTCCCCCCTTCTCCTTCCACTAGCCCCTCACTCCCCATCCCCAGCCCAGTACCCACATCATTCCCCAGGGAGGGTAAGGGCCTCCTTGGGGGGATCTCCAGAGTCTGTCATTTCATCCAGGGCAGGATCTAGGCCCTTCCCCATGTGTCCAGGCTGAGAGAGCATCCCTCCATGTGGCATGGGCTCCCAAAGTTCATTTGTACACCGTAGTGAACACTATTCTACTACCCAAGGCCCCAGAGATTTCTGAGGCCTCCTCACTGACATTACAATCATGGAGTCTGGATCAGTCCCCTGTTGGCCTCTTAGTCATCAGTCTGGGGTTCAAGAGCTCCCCCTTGTCCAGTCAGCTGTTTTTGTGGGTTTCACCAGCATGGTCTTGACCGCCTTGCTCATCACTCCTCCAACTCTGTTACTGGGTTCCAGGGGGTCAGTTCAGTGTTAGTTGTGAGTATCTGTCTCTGCTTCCATCAGTCACAGGATGAAGGTTCTAGGATGTCACATAAGGTAGTCACAAACCTTATCGTCAGTTAGGAGCTATTAATGTAGTCTCTCCGTTATTACTTAGTTTTCCAGTTGGTGTTATCCTTGTAGATCTCTGGGAATCTCACTAGTGTCAGCTCTCTCCTCAAAGCTATAATGACTCCAACTATTATGGTATCTCTCATCCTGGTCTCCTCTATTCTTACCCCGACTCAGCCTTCCTGCTCCCCCATGTCTTCTTCTACCCTCCTCTTATCCCCCTATCTTTTTCCTGGTTCCCTCTCTTCTCCCACCATGTTCCCAATCTGCTCAGGAGCTCTTTCCTCTTTCCACTTCTCTGGGGTATAATGCATATCTCTTGGGAACCTCCCTGTTTCCCAGACTCACTGGACCTGGGATTGTAGGCTGACACTCCCCTGATCCATGTCTAAAATCCATATATGAGTGAGCACATACCATGTTTGTCTTTTTGTGACTAGGTTACCTTACTCAGGATGGTTTCTTCTAGTGCCATCCATTTGCCTGCAAATTTCAAGATTCCGTTGTGTTTTTCCACTGAGTAGTACTCCATTGTGTAAATGTACCACATTTTCTCTATCCACTCTTCTGTTGTGGCTCATCTAAGTTGCTTCCAGGATCTAGCTATTACAAATAATGCTACTATGAACATAGTGGAACAGACATCCTTGTATGAATGGGCATCTTTTGGGTATATGCCTAAGAGTGGAATTGCTGGGTTGTGTGGTAGATTGATTCCCATTTTCCTGAGGAATCTCCATACTGATTTCCAAAGTGCCTGTACAAGTTTGCACTCCCACCAGCAATGGACGAGTGTTCCCCTTTCTCCACATCCTCTCCAGCATAAGCTGTCATTGGTGTTTTTGATTTTAGACATTCTGACAGGAGTAAGATGATATCTCAAGGTTGTTTTGATTTGCATTTCCCTAATGGCTAAGGATGTTGAGCACTTTCTCAAGTGTATCTCAGCCATTTCCCAACCTAAAGAAAGACATGCCATTTTCTTTCAAACCACATCATTCATGGGTATGTAGATGAATGTCTGAACTAAAATATGAAAGGCGTTAGGAGTGGGCACAGACCACAGATGATGAGACACAGTCATTAATGTCCTATACAAGGACAGAAAGTGACTTCATTCGGGTGATTAATCATGGGGGAACCATTTGGATCCTAGATAAGGGCTAGAAGACTGGACAGTACTCTAGAAACAGGTAAAGATATTCAATGTCTAGAGCTTGGGATGACTTTGAAGATTCATCCTCAATAAAAACTCTCTTGCATTTTCATTGAAAATGTGCTCATTTGTATGAAGGAAGCCAAGGGAGGCAGAGTCTATAGCCCACTGAGGACAGGCGTGTCCCTCCTGCATCTACTGGTAGACGTGCTGACAGCATCATGCTCTTAGTGATGAAGCACTCCTGCCTTCCCTTTCTCAGAGAAAGTTGTGCTCTATGGAGAAGAAGGAAAAGGCATGG